GGGGCATACAGGACTCACGCATAACATCAGTCCAGAGAAGTTGAATCGTAGATTGACTTCTATAGAGGCAAGATGTTTGGGACATGTTTTTCATGTTACCAGAAGGGAGAACTGGGCCAGCATTGAGAGTCATGGTTTGATGAGAGACCCTCAAAGTTGGAACAGAAGGAACAGAGGTGAAGGAAGAGATTATGTTCATTTTATGTACAGCAATCCACAAACTTTGCTTTACATTCCTTTAGGCCCAGGTACAGTGGTTCCAAGGGATTATGGACAGCCTTTGTATGTGAAGCTTAACGTGATTCTTTGGCTTCGGGCTGGACGTCCTCTGTACTTCAGCAACAATGGAGTGGTGCTCACACATTGTGATGTAGAGCCCAAATACTTGGACATTGGTGTGGATGAACCACAACCACAAGATGCTCCAGATCCCGCTAAGGAGTTGGGAAATCCTAAGGCCGCAGAGGAGATGATGGAGCTCATCAACAGTGAGAAGATGCAACAAGAGAGAGTGAGATCATTGTTCACCAGACTATCTATTGACAAGCCATATGCCAGAGAACTTCTCAGGAGGATTCATGCAGATGAGCCTGAGACAAGACAAGCTAAGAGGCATATGCTTCTCTGGTTGGATGATCTGAATTTAGGTGCTATCGCCAGTTTTGTCAGCTATGAGAATCATCCTGAACGTGAGTACAATCGTTCACGATTGAGGTCACGTCAGGTGATGTCAGAAGGCCATTATCCACAAGGATGGTCTTTGATTACACCTAAAGAGATTGATGATCGTGATCCTTGGAGTATCTTAGGCTATAGTGCTCCAAAGTTGATTGTCAATGGGGATGGTGTTACCTCAAGGTCCTTGTTTATGGTTCATCCATTAGTTTTGAGCAAGGATCAGGCGAAACTGGTGAAGGCTGATGAGGAAGTGATTCGTTTTGACCACCTTTGGAAGGACATCACTTCGAAGAGCTCAACAGCCAGGACTTCTGGAGAACCTCAACAAGATGAAGAAGATGACTCTGCTCATGTTGCTGAGCGTGAGATGACATGGTTCATTCAGAATGTCAGCAACCTGGTTCTCAACCCATGGATGGTATATGACATTGGCATGGTATCACTCCATGATCGTGTAGGAACACGTGTACTCCAGAGCACTGGAGAAGACGTGATTCTAGTGAGGGATTGGGACAGGTTGACAAGGCACCAGAGAGAATATTTTTGTAGAAGATACAAGTTGTTGCGTCCAAGTGTTTATGGAACAGAGGAGGACCCCAAGACGTATGCACCAAGTTTTGAACCTGGATTTTCTCAATGGATGGAGTTGGCACAAACTGGATACCAACAGTTTTTCTTCATCCGTGCTTGGGAGAATGGACGCCGTTGGGCTGAAATTCTGACAGACCATGGCATTGCTTCTGCAGAACTTTCAAGTTTCCTGGATATGTGCAGGGATCCCAAATTGCTGGGTTGGAACTTTGGTATCCCAGAACCTCAGTGGGATAATTTCGGCAACTCAGTGGAGGAAGCATTTAACAATCCATTATTTGCCAAACTGCACTATCGTTTCAAGCAGGAGGAAGAGATTGGCCGTGTCATGCACCTTTTGTCTGAACTTGTTTGTGACTTTTTCGTCAAGGTGCTTCCCAGGTGGGTTCTTAAGCATTCGATCTTGTGGGAAGAGTTTATGATCTTGGATCCACACACAAAGCTCCCTCTTTACAAGACTTCAGAGGCCGCCTTACAAGCAGAAGAGGATCCAGAGAAGTATCATGCACATTTTGCTATGAACTTCAAGAAATTCCGTTTTTCTGCAAGAATTGAGTGGTATTTGATTGACCGTGACAGGAATCATTTTGAGAGTTTTCTTCACAACTCCAACAGTAGATTTGTGCAACATGCATGCTATCAACTTCGTGAGTATGTTCAAGCACGTGTTGCAGTTTCTGATCCCTTGAAGGAAGAGTTTGAACGCCAATACAATTCCAAGTTTTTGGAGGCGATTTCTTGCTCTCGTGTTGTAGTTGAGCCTGTAAGTTCAGGGACGTATGAGCCATCATCGAAGCTGAACTTAAAGGTACTACAAGACATCCTGAAGGGTATCTTTAAGATCCAGAAGGATGAGGAACATGCCAAGGAACGTGAGGAAGAAGAAGAACAGGCAGCTCAAAACATCTCATACCTGTTGGCAGATGATATGGAGCTTGATTTCGATGATGATAATGTTCCAGTATGGCGCTCCATTGTCGACAAGTATAGAGAAGGTGATCAGGTGCTACAGGGAGAAGCTGTGAAGATTACTCACCTGTTCAGGGATCAAAAGGACAATGAGAAGGCGACAGAAGCTTTCAGTTCAGAGAGGACAGATTTTTATGAGACCTCAGGACCTCTTCCAAGAACCATGGGAGAAAATCTTGTAGAGGACTTGCTCACCAAGGATGTTGCAGAACAAGCTTTTGATGCAGGTGAAGAAGTTCCTCCTTATACAAGAGTCTCCACTATCGCTGGTGGAATCTATACTGGAAGTATGACACTTCTAGAAGATGAGGATATGGAAGAGGAAGTTCCTGAAGAAGATCCTGCAGTTGAACCTGAAAAGGAAGAAGAAATATTTGATGAGAATGCAGGTGTTTTTCCTTCAGAGGAACCAAAGATGGAAGTGGACCAGGAGGAAGCCAAGGAGGAGTCAACACCACACTTTCTGTCAAGAGAGATAGGTGAGGACTCGGCTGCATCGCACTTACCATCAGGTGAGATGGATGCTAACCTTGATGATACTCCACGTCTGCCGAAATCTAAGAAAGGCCGCCTGAATAAAATACCTGATCCTCATTTTCATGAAGAAGTTCAGGATGATGCAACCATGGAAGAGAAGAAAGAGGCGGTGGAGAAAATAAAAGAGGTCAGAGAGGATGATGGAGAGAAGAAATTGGAGGCTGAAATCCAGGAATCTTTTCCATCTGAAGTAGTTGTTGAAAAGGATACAACAAAAGTTGACAATACCTATGAGTTGCATACTTCACCTTTGAAGTTGCTTGGAGAGCTTACAGGAGATCCAGGTATTGGCCTTTATCAACAATGCTTCAGGGAAACTCACGCAAGATTGCTGAATCATGTTTGTTTCAGAAAAGGTGAGATTTCCCATCCTCATTATCAGTCAAGGATCAACGAGAATGATTTTGTTCGATCCATTCGTAATATCTGTCCAGTACCTCCACCTGATTGTTATGAACACGAACC